TATTATTTGCAATACGACAGTTCTCGTGAAAACCTCAAGAGTCTCATAGATCAGAGGCCGGAGGTCTAAGCGGTGAACCTTTAAAAGGTTTATCAACTCAACTGATTCAGGAAATGTATCAACTTACTAAAGGTAGTAATAATTAATATTAATTAATTAATTGATTTAATATTGCAGGCCAAGTACCAATTATAGGAGTGGGCGGAGTCAGTTCTGGTCAAGACGCTTACGATAAGATCAGAGCAGGTGCTAGTCTAGTACAGTTATATACTGGACTGGTTTATGAGGGACCACCATTAGTGGGTAGGATCAAGAAAGAACTGGCTCTTTTATTGAAGTAAGTTATGGTACTATGATAGGGAGAAGAGTGTCAGAAACTGTAATAAAAAATAAAGGTGTAAAGCTATTTAGCATCAGCTATAGTACAAGGTATTTTTCAGATTCTGGTATTTTTTAAATGGCTGTAACTTGAAAAATTAAAGTTGGAATCACCTCAAACTTTCTACACAGCATAAGGACATCAATATGTATCAGAAAATGTAATTAAAATTGGGAGTCATTTTTTTGGCCATTTTTTGGAAAAAACCATGGACTATAGCCTTGGGTATTTTTCAGATTTTTGACATTTTCTTAAAATGGCTGTAACTTGAATAATTGAAGTCGGAATCAGCTCAAACTTTCTACACAGCATAAGGACATCAATATGTATTATTTATTATTATTTTCAGATCTGATGGTTATGACTCGGTATCTGATGCTGTTGGAACTTTTCATAAAAAAAGAAAAAATTGAACATCAAAAAAAAGTGGACACACCCTCTCTTTCATTTATAAATCATTAATTGGAGGAATAATTCAAATTTTACAGAAGTAGCAATTTTAATTAATTAATAAATTAACAATAATAACTAATAAAATTTATCTAATTATTAATAATTGATGAGTTTTGTGTTATAGTACAAAATAAAAATTGTATAAATTTAATTTAATTAAATTAATAATAATAATTAATATAATCAATAAATTATAACCAGTTTCCTTGAGGCCCAGGAGGCGGGGCCTGGGTTGGGCGGGGCTGGCCTTGCTGCCAGCTGCTAGGAGGATACTGGTACCGCGGTCTTGAACCTGGTCTTAACCTCTGACGACTCATAGCCTATTAATAAATAATAATAATAATAATAATGTTTAATGAATATTAATTACTTGTTTATTAATTTGACTAACTTCCTGTGAGAATTCGCTAAGGACACTGGCATCAGACACCTTTAAATATATAAATAAAATAAATAAATCAATTTATTAATTAATAAACTCACATTGTCTGGAAAAGGATCGCTCCTTTGATGAGGAGCAGTTGCAGCTGTTCTTCTCATGTTAGTGAAGTCATTAGGATTGAAAAACTAAACACAAAATGATGATAATAAAAGATATCTTCTAACTCCTTTACCTGTGGTTTAGGAGGCTCCATTTTATCCTGAGCCTCTGGTACCCCTATACTGACATCAGAGGATTCTGAAGCTGTTCTCCTCTCCGTCCTGGACTGAGGGGGCGGGGCAGGAGGTAGGTGGGGCTGATGGCCAGTAGCAGGAGCAGCTGGTGTCTGATAAACTGACAACGAGGACTGGTCCTGAGGGATGTGGTGAGGGTTTTGTGATGGAGGGAAGCGAGAGACGGCCATTGATGGCCCGAGGTGTTCCTGTGGTTGAATTGTGTGAGAAGAAGAAGATGGAGTCACTTCTGATGGAGTCACTGTATTAGATAGAGACTCATTAGTAGCAGTAGGAGGAGTGTCACTAGTAGATGGGACAGGGACAGGATTGTATAGCGTCTCAAAGTTAGATACTCCGTCTAATAAAGGAAGTATAGAACATGTATATGTATCAGGAAAACATTATTAAAATGGAGAATTCTCTTCTTTTCATTTTTGGCAAAATTTAACCAATGACCATGTACTATAGTACAGGGACTTTTGTCCAATTTTGGAGCAAATTAAAAAATTCTCCATAGTTACTAAACACATTATTATTATTATTATTATTATTATTATTATTATTATTATTATTATTATTATTATCATTATTATTATTATTATTAATAATAATAATAATAATTATTATTATTATTATTATTTACCATTTTGTTGATTCGGCTGAGCTGGTACAAACAGGTTAAACTGCATTCCCTGAGCCAGGGGCATTAAGCCGCCAGGGGGCGGAGCTAAGGCTGGAGGGGGTGGGGCAGTCGATTGAGTTTTATTAGATCTGGCAACGTCAACATAACGAGCCTTAGCCAGCCTACCCCTAGCCCCTCCCCCTGGCCTCCCCACCCCTCCAGAGGTAGAACTGATACCAGTGGTTGATTTTAACTCAGAGTCTGTAGGGGGTGGAGCTGGTCCACTGTCATTCTGCCAGTAAAACTCAGTAAATTTATAGTATTTTCTGTAGGCAGGACTTACCTGATCATCAGCATCTAAATCAATCCAACGGTTTTTCTCTTTATCAAATATTATCTTAATAAATTAATAAAATAAATAATGATAATATTATAATAACTTACCCGTGGGTTCTTGTCATCAGGTAGGTATCCTTGTTTCGGTCCTTTGGGTATTAAGTTGAACGGATTGAGACGTCCCAACCAGCTCTTGGAATCAGCAGCTACTTTATCTTTATCAACATCTTTAGTGTTATTAGGTACATCTATAAAATAAATAATAATTAATTTATTAATTACATGAAATTAACCTTCTTCATTTTCATTGCTCTTTTCTTTGTTCCCTTCGCTAGGTAGGTGTGGTTTATTATCAGTGGGTGGGGCAGTAAAGACAGTGCTACTGTCTCCCATTAAAGTACTGGAGCTGTTGTACCCATTAAACCCGTGGATAGACCTAACCACGTCCACTTGTGAGCTACTGGACATGAGACCAGAAGAACTCTCCAAAGACTCTCCTCCATGCATACCAGCGGACTGGGACTCTGGTATAGTGGATGTACCAGTGTCCCAAGACTGGGCCCATGGTTGCTGGTAGTTCATTAAAGAGCCATACTGGTCAGGTAGTGTCTCCTGCTCTGCTGTACTATATACCATAGGGTTAGGGTTTGCAGGTGGTTCAGTAATTCCTTGAAAACCAGTCGCATCAGTAGCAGTAACGGCAGGTACTGGCAGCTGCTCTCCAGTATTAGCTACTGTGGACTGAGCTATACTATCTGCTATGGACGGTGGTACGTATCCAGTAGCCTGTACACTGGACGGTGGTACGTATCCAGTAGCCTGTACATTGGACGGTGGTACGTATCCAGTAGCCTGTACATTGGACGGTGGTACGTATCCAGTATAATCTGTTGTGTCTTCACTAGCTACAGCGTATCCCACTGGAGCAGTGTACCCAGTATACTGACCAGTGTCACCAGCGTCACCAGTGGTAACCTCGGTCACTGGTTCAACAGTCGTTGAATATCCTTCAGGAACAGGATACTGGACTGATGCCCCACCCCCTGCCCCTCCCCCTGGTACCTGCAGGTACTCCTGAGTGGTGTAAGAGGAGGGGAGGAGGGGCTGGTGGGAAGCAGCTGCAGCTAAACCAGCAGCTGAACTGAGGGAGGGACTGGCACGAGATATGACATTAGCCGGGGACACTCCTCCCTATTAATAAACAAATTAATTAATTCATTAATATACTAATGGTCTTGTACCATGAAGCTGTTGTCTCCAACAGATTGGTCCAGGGTCAGTATCCAAGGTGGCAGCTCATTCTCCATCACTCCTGATGGATAAGAGGCATAATGGAGTCGAACAGAGAACTAGGCAACAAGAAGAAGAACACAAGATGAACATGAACATGCATTTCAATGCCTTACGTCCGTCAGCAGCTGCAGAAATGTGTTGTTAAAACTGGACGGACTCCTAATCACAAACCAGCTGATAGACTCGCAGTAGGAGAGAGCCTACAAAACAAACAATGATCAGCTGACAATCACATGAATATCAGCTGACAATCACGTGACTTGTGTATCACTATCATACCTTCTTGGTTAGTCCGGCCTCTATCAGTTTAAAAAGGTGGAGCAGTTTGAAAGTTTGAAAGTTTGGAAGTACAAATTCAGCTTTGCTCAGGCCGAGAGCAAACTCCAGGACTTCAGTCCTGACCAGGTCCTCAGGAGAAGGGTAACACCCTCTCATTATACTAGAGAGAGGGAGGAGCAGTATATTCAAATGCTAATAAAAGTATTCACTTGGTGTGGTCTATTCCTAGCAGTGAGTATTTGGAAGTCTCGGTGTCCCCGTAAGATCCAAACGGAATATTGCAGAGATGATAACAGAAATGAGCACCTGCAACACGACCCCTTGCCACTGGGGGGGGGGGGGAGGAGAGAAAATATGAATTTTAATATCAACTATCAACTTTGAATATACATGTATCTGAGTTTAATAGTCATTAGCACTGCGAATACTATATACAAATTAATTGATAATAATTAATAACGCACTACTGTTATTAAGTGATTAATTAATAATAATAAAATACAGTGGAATTTATTCATTTCAGTCGTTCAGTCCCAAGTTGCTGCCATAAGAGAACCAGCTGGACTCAGAAGTTGAATAATCTCGCACTCTCAACTTATATCTCTTTGCTTGACACAAGAACAATGAATATGAGAGACAGAGGACGAGGAACCCGGTCAAAAACACATAAAATTCACACCCAAACTTTATCTCTTCCATAAAAGGTAACTTGAAGATCCTAAGCAGCTGCCAAGAGAGGATCTCAAACACGTTCCCGAGTCCCATGAATATTCCAATGATGAGAGTCCTCATGTGGTAGGGACTCTGAGCAATAAAGAACTCAAGACTTGACGGTATGACTAGTATAGACCCCAGACCACCTAATATGTCAGGGATAATTAAGAGGGTGTGGTCACTTACGAAACCAGTCACTGTCTCGTTGTATGGCATACGTGTATCAGTCATTAATTCACAGGTATAGTTACTGTCCGAATCAACAACGTACACTCCCACTCCAATTAATAAAATACGGGACATTAAGACTAGAAAGAAACCACAGCCGATCTTCTGGAGGAGAGAAAGGGTTAAAAATTTGATGTATTTTAACCCTAACTGCTTGAGAGGAATTAGGACCAGTGCCAAACAGTAATGGATGAAATGAGACGATGAAATCAAACACTTTCCAAACGGTTTCTCGTGATAGTTAAGACGCCCGAGAGGAACTGGCGATAACAAATAAAACAGCTGGACACATATCAACAATGGGAGGAGATTAAGGAACACTTTGACACTCTCCACCTCCTCCGTTGTGAAAGGACCGCCAAGAGAGTGCTTAGCTAGGTCAAGTCTAGAGACTTTGGCCGGGTCCCAAGACGAGAAAGAAGACCGATGTATGGGATGAGGGGTCCTGCGAGCGAAATTGAAAACCTTAGCGATAAGAAAAAGAGGATTGACAATCCTCTGTCTCGTCTCCGGTACCAGCCTACGCCAATTAACTATCAATAATATAATAATTAATATTAACGAGAGGGCGTGGCCTGATACAATATATAGTCCGCCAGAAGTAGTGGTCTTAGCATGAAGGCCACAGGAAAGGAGTGTGGTAATCGACCAGCCGAAATAAAGGCACCAGTAGAACCACCATATGAATGAGCTAAGCTGATCCGATGAACCGTCGGCCAGTGTCTCACCGCCGTACGTCAATAGGAGGACAGTTATACAACGCTGGGACAGTATGAATACGGTACTAACGGAGCTCCCTATATCGAACCAAACACCTTCTCCGTCCTGAGAGTCTGATACAACTCCAGTGACCTGAAGTGTCTTTATTATCACAAAGTAAACTGTAATGCAAAGACAGATACTTAGACATATTAATACAACTCGGTACTTGGCACATTTTAAGTGAGCGTACAAAGCTATTACTGGCAGAGACAGATACAATAATACCATTAATACTGGTACTAGTATATTAACAAGACCTTTGTAATACACTCTGGCAGTAATGGTAGGATCACACACTCGAACTAGCATCAGCATTATTATTATCAAAATGGCCGCCCTCGGGAAAGGTTCAGCTTTATAAGCGTGGAAATACTTCCTGGACCAGCTGGAGGTGGTAGACATGTTCCTGATGTAATAGAAGGACAATGGATCAGAGAGAGAGAGAGAGAGAGAGAAGACAGTTGCTCAATAACCAGTCAAAGAAGAAGAGAAGAAGCAGCAGCTGCTAAAAAGATGGTTCCCTTATCATGAAAGTGAAAACTGAAGAAATATCAACGATTATATACATACATTGTACATGTATAGCTAAAGTACTGTACATGTAGGAGGTGTGGCAGTGTCAATGTTTTCCCAAGTGTAGTGAGAGTTTTCCATACTTCTACTGTCCTGGTCATTGAAGCATAAAATAAACTGAAGGCAAAGTGTTGCTTTCAGAATGATATTATCAAGTGGACACAAACAAATATTTCAATGTGCGTGTGTGTGTGTGCGTGTATATCAGTAATGTAATACCTGAGTCCCTTGATATCTGCCCTCAGCTTCACCTCAAGCAGATATCTCAGTCCTCAGGTATTACATTACTTATACACACACACACACCTCCAGACAATATAAAGGTGTGTTTGGGTGTGGCTTACAGAGTGAGTCCCCTAGGTTAGAGATGCAGCTGGTGTCTTGTGTTGGGTTGAGGTTAGTGATCATCATGGCCAAATGAGACTGCCAGTCTCCGGATCTGGACAATCCTTCAGGCTAACAGAAAAGGAGTTTCATCACACAATAGCAACATAGACCTTTAACATCTAAGGCCTAGTACACAATATCATGCGTTGCGACAGGAAGAGCACCGGAAGTGCTGTACAAACGCTGCGAGTTATCGCATGAGTTGACCAAAGTTCAACTCTTGCGTTATTGACGCGCGTGCCATTGGTTTGTACAGCACTTCCGGTTGCAAGGCTGATATTGTGTACCAGGCCTAATACTTAGACCATTACTTTAACTTTGCAAAACATTCAAAGATTTACTCATATAAAAATTCATGTACATGTACATGTACATGTACATGTACTGTGAAATATCACAGATTGCAATGTTAGCTGTTTTAATTTCAGTTTTAATTTCACAGCTGCATGCTAAACTGCAAAAACCGCTCCAGTTTCACTCCTCAAAAGTAAAGGTCTACAATACAGATCATATCGTGAGTCGATTGGTTCTTACTTTAGATACTGAGGGTAGTCTCCCCAACATGAGCGTGTAGAAGGTACTCAAAGGGTCGGAGGTCAAGAGAGAAGCAGTGAACCTGTTCACTACGTAAGTTCTGCTCTGGTCATCCATGCGACTGGACAGCATGAGGGCGTGGCCCCATAGACCACGGGAACAAGCCAAATTGAGAGCATCCTACAAAATTATAATAATAAAATATTTAATTATTTTTATTATTACCTTTTTACGACCTGCTAATAAGAGTGTTCTAAATTCATCCAGACCACACCCCTTTTCTTCAATAGCCCCACCCACTCCGACTCCCCTAGGGCTCTTTGAGAGGTTGTCCTCATTCTCCTGCTGAGTCAGCAGATCAGAAATATCCGTGGGGAGGACGACCCCGTTCTGTTGGCATAGCAACGAGAGGTACTTCCATAAAAGGGCGTGGTCGGGATCAGTCTCGGCTGAAGCTCTTGAAGTGCAGAACTTGATGACAGCACTCTTAGGAGTGTCTGAACTGAAGGAGGAAAACAATAATCAACTTTTAATTGAAACGTGTAATAATTTGTACATGTACATGTATTGGGTATTAATTATAATATTAATATTTATTAATTATTATTTATTATTATTAATTATTAATAAACTGCCCCTTACATTAGTAAAGGTCCTGGATAATCTTCTAACGATTCTGCAAAATTATTGAACTCAGGTACCAAAGACTATTTTAAAAATAACAAAGAGAGATATCATTAAAAACACGATACTCTGATCTTACCTGCAAAGAGTGTATGTGGACAATGGCCGGTACATGTTCAGACGGTTTGACCGGCGACCCAGTGACCAGTTGCCCTCCGATACTAAACCTGACACTAACATGGGGGAAACAGAAGCAGAGAGGAGTATCCCTCCGAGGAGGAGAGGGGGAACCAGCAGCTGGAGGCACTAGAAATTAAAGTATAATTTAAATAACCTAATTATGTATCAGAAAATGTAATAAAAATTGGGGGTGATTTTGGAGCCATTTTTTTGAAAAAACCATGGGCTATAGCCTTGGGTATTTTTCAGATTTTTGACGTTTTCTTAAAATGGCTGTAACTTGAAAAATTGAAGTCGGAATCACCTCAAACTTTCTACACAGCATAAGGACATCAATATGTATCAGAAAATGTAATAAAAATTTGGGGTCATTTTTTGGCCATTTTTTGGAAAAAAACCATGGACTATAGCCTTGGGTATTTTTCAGATTTTTGACATTTTTTAAAATGGCCGTAACTTGAAAAATTGAAGTCGGAATCACCTCAAACTTTCTACACAGCATAAGGGCATCAATATGTATCAGAAAATGTAATAAAAATTGGGGGTGATTTCGGAGCCATTTTTTTGAAAAAACCATGGGCTATAGCCTTGGGTATTTTTCAGATTTTTGACGTTTTCTTAAAATGGCCGTAACTTGAAAAATTGAAGTCGGAATCACCTCAAACTTTCTACACAGCATAAGGACATCAATATGTATTATTTATTATTATTATTGTCAGATCTGATGGTCATGAATCTGTATCTGATGCTGTTGGAACTTTTCATAAAAAAGAAAAAAATTGAACAATAAAATAAACTCAACACACACTCTCTGTCTCTTTAATTATCAATCATTAATTGGAGGAATAATTCAAATTTTACAGAAGTAGCAATTTTAATTAATTAATAAATTAACAATAATAACTAATAAAATTTTCTAATTATTAATAATTGATGAGTTTTGTGTTATAGTACAAAATAAAAATTGTATAAATTTAATTTAATTAAATTAATAATAATAATTAATATAATCAATAAATTATAACCAGTTTCCTTGAGGCCCAGGAGGCGGAGCCTGAGTTGGGCGGGGCTGGCCTTGCTGCCAGTTGCTAGGAGGATACTGGTACCGCGGTCTTGAACCCGGTCTTAACCTCTGACGACTCATAGCCTGTTAATAAATAATGATAATAATAATAATAATAATGTTAATGAATATTAATTACTTGTTTATTAATTTGACTAACTTCCTGTGAGAATTCGCTAAGGATACTGGCATCAGACACCTTTATATAAATAAAACAAATAAATCAATTTATTAATTAATAAACTCACATTGTCTGGAAAAGGATCGCTCCTTTGATGAGGAGCAGTTGCAGCTGTTCTTCTCATGTTAGTGAAGTCATTAGGATTGAAAAACTAAACACAAAATGATGATAATAAAAGATATCTTCTAACTCCTTTACCTGTGGTTTAGGAGGCTCCATTTTATCCTGAGCCTCTGGTACCCCTATACTGACATCAGAGGATTCTGAAGCTGTTCTCCTCTCCGTCCTGGACTGAGGGGGCGGGGCAGGAGGTAGGTGGGGCTGATGGCCAGTAGCAGGAGGAGCTGGTGTTTGATAAACTGACAATGAGGACTGGTCCTGAGGGACGTGGTGAGGGTTTTGTGATGGAGGAAAGCGAGAGACAGCCATTGATGGCCCGAGGTGTTCCTGTGATTGAATTGTATGAGAAGAAGAAGATGAAGTCACTTCTGATGGAGTCATTGTATTAGATAGAGACTCATTAGTAGCAGTAGGAGGAGTGTCACTAGTAGAGGAGACAGGGACAGGATTGTATAGCGACTCAAAGTTAGATACTCCGTCTAATAAAGGAAGTATAGAACATGTATATGTATCAGGAAAACATTATTAAAATGGAGAATTCTCTTCTTTTCATTTTTGGCAAAATTTAGCCAGTGACCATGTACTATAGTACAGGGACTTTTGTCCAATTTTGGAGAAAATTTAAAAATTCTCCATAGTTACTAAACACATTATTATTATTATTATTATTATTATCATCATTATTATTATTATTATTATTATTATTATTATTATTATTATTATTATTATTTACCATTTTGTTGATTTGGCTGAGCTGGTACAAACAGGTTAAACTGCATTCCCTGAGCCAGGGGCATTAAGCCACCAGGGGGTGGAGCTAAGGCTGAAGGGGGCGGGGCAGTCAATTGAGTTTTATTAGATCTGGCAACATCAACATAACGAGCCTTAGCCAGCCTACCCCTAGCCCCTCCCCCTACCCTGCCCACCCCTCCAGAGGTAGAACTGATACCGGCGGTTGATTTAAGTTCAGAGTCTGTAGGGGGTGGAGCTGGTCCACTGTCATTCTGCCAGTAAAACTCAGTAAATTTATAGTATTTTCTGTGGGCAGGACTTACCTGATCATCAGCATCTAAATCAATCCAACGGTTTTTCTCTTTATCAAATATTATCTAAATAAATTAATAAAATAAATAATAATAATAATGATGGTGATAATAACTCACCCGTGGGTTCTTGTCATCAGGTAGGTATCCTTGTTTCGGTCCTTTGGGTATTAAGTTGAACGGATTGAGACGTCCCAGCCAGCTCTTGGAATCAGCAGCTACTTTATCTTTATCAACATCTTTAATTTTATTAGGTACATCTATAAAATAAATAATAATTAATTTATTAATTGCATGTCATTAACCTTCTTCATCTTCATTGCTCTTTTCTTTGTTCCCTTCGCTAGGTAGGTGTGGTTTATTATCAGTGGGTGGGGCAGTAAAGACGGAGCTACTCTCTCCCATTAAAGTACTGGAGCTGTTGTACTCGTTAAACCCGTGGGTGGACCTGACCACACCCACTTGTGAGCTACTGGACATGAGACCAGACGAACTCTCCAAAGACTCTCCTCCATACATACCAGCGGACTGGGACTCTGGTATAGTGGATGTACCAGTGTCCCAAGACTGGGCCCATGGTTGCTGGTAGTTCATTAAAGAGCCATACTGGTCAGGTAGTGTCTCCTGCTCTGCTGTACTATATGCCACAGGGTTAGGGTTTGCAGGTGGTTCAGTAACTCCTTGAAAACCAGTTGCATCAGTAGCAGTAACGGCAGGTACTGGCAGCTGCTCTCCAGTATTAGCTACTGTGGACTGAGGCATACTATCTGCTATGGACGGTGGTACGTATCCAGTATAATCTGTTGTGTCTTCACTAGCTACAGCGTATCCCACTGGAGCAGTGTACCCAGTATACTGACCAGTGTCACCAGCGTCACCAGTGATAACCTCGGTCACTGGTTCAACAGTCGTTGAATATCCTTCAGGAACAGGATACTGGACTGATGCCGCACCCCCTGCCCCTCCCCCTGGTACCTGCAGGTACTCCTGAGTGGTGTAAGAGGAGGGGAGGAGGGGCTGGTGGGAAGCAGCTGCAGCTAAACCAGCAGCTGAGCTGAGGGAGGGACTGGCACGAGATATGACATTAGCCGGGGACACTCCTCCCTATTAATAAACAAATTAATTAATTCATTAATATACTAATGGTATTGTACCATAAAGCTGTTGTCTCCAACAGATTGGTCCAGGGTCAGTATCCAAGGTGGCAGCTCATTCTCCATCACTCCTGATGGATAGGAGGCATAATGGAGTCGAACAGAGAACTAGGCAACAAGAAGAACACAAGATGAACATGAACATGTAGTTCAATGCCTTACGTCCATCAGCAGCTGCAGAAATGTGCTGTTAAAACTGGACGGACTCCTAATCACAAACCAGCTGATAGACTCGCAGTAGGAGAGAGCCTATGAAACAAACAATGATCAGCTGACAATCACATGAATATCAGCTGACAATCACGTGACTTGTGTATCACTATCATACCTTCTTGGTTAGTCCGGCCTCTATCAGTTTAAAAGGTGGAGCAGTTTG